GAAACCAATGTAATGAAGCACTACCCGCCCCGCCCAAAAAAACTAGTTAGTGTGTCTCTCTTTTTCCTACAACTTAGCTTGCCAATTATCCTTCATCTTTCTCTCCTTTAAAATTCTTCTCCCCTATTAAAACAATTTGTCCTCCCTTCTCCCTTATGTTCTCCTTCCCTGGCTCTCAACTTTCTATGTGGGTAGACCCGGAGCACACTTCAGCCTAGTCCTTCCCAGCAGCTTTGCACGAAGGAGCTATGCAGATGCTCCCAACGCTTAGAGTCAGGAGGCTTTTTATGTCTGTAAACCCCATCATCCTGAGCTTTTCTATTTTCCTTTCTAGTTTCCATTACACTCAGTAACAATTAAGGGTTATAGTCTTTAAATTTAGTAACAATTGAGGATTACATTCTTTGTGGCTCCAGAAGCCAGAAAGGATTCATTCAACAGCAAAGAACACATTTTGATTGAAAGCTTTGGCTTTGTACCTGAAATGTAGAGTCTGGAAATAATTGGCAGAGAGGAACCATATTACAATGTATTGCATTCTTTACTTCAGTGCCTGCTTGCAGTGCTGGTTTCTTCAACCCATTAAACCTTTGACCTCACCTTCCCCCACCTCCACTGACTATCCATGTTTTCTTCTCACCCCAGTTCTAGTTGTTTCTATAATTGCTCCTTACTTTTGGGGTAGCAGGAAAGGTTGTCTTCAAAAGGCAAAAATCTCTTTTAATCAAAATCGTCATTAAAAATCCCTTAAATCTCACGGAAGGTACAACTCTGCACAGTAATCACAGTATCCACAACACTGTATGACATTCCGGATGGTGCTACTTAAGAGAGAAGAGCTTGGAGTGGAGCAACTGACAATTCAGAAAGAAGCTATCAGCTAGCTGAATCCCTTGCCTTTCTTTTTCCTCAGGCCAAAAAACTCAAGAAAGATAATATGCATGACAAAATTATTACACATACGAACTGCAAGACACACACACACTCTCCTAAAAATCCTTGGCTCAGATGTCTGAGATCATGACATATGCAAGCTTTGTTTCCCTGTACTTAGGAATCTTAGCTATACATTGAAAAATTTAAAACAAAATCAATCAATAACTAAAATCTGACACTAACTCTTCACCTTTGCTAAAATGCTAAAGGAGTAAAAGAACATTTAATATTAAATTCTTTAACTCACGAGCCATGTGCTAATAATAATAGAGGTAATAACAATACCTACCAATTATTGAGTGCTTTTTATATGCTGGGCACCTTGCCATATAGGGGGTGTCTGTGTATTCATGTAGTCCTTAAAGAAAAACAAAAAACTCTAAAAGTTATTTCCATCTTACAGCTGAGGAAACTGAGACTGAATTATGGTGAAGATAGAAAACTGCTCTTGCCCTGAGTCACGCAGTGAAACAGCAGCGAAGTTGGGATTTGAACCCAGGTTTGCCTCTAACGTCTGTGCTATAAATTACCACACTCAATAGCATCCTTATAAACAAGCCATTTTCTCATCAAAATGCTTTGAATTGAATTTGGAAGACTTGATTTTTATTTAGTTATTAGCAGCAAACATTAAGGAAATAAAAAATGGCCTTTAGTAAGAGGCTGACAAGCTACTCCTGGGGCCACCCACCATAGACTGGACACATTTCCTCTGAAAATAAATTTCTGCTTTTTGTTTCATGCCACCCAACACTAATTCAATGGCAACCCCCATGAAACACCATTCTGCTCCACTCAGAGAAGCCAAGAATTCAAATCCTATTCTGCAAATTGACAGGTAGTACTGCAAACGTGATTCTGCCAAGACACAAATCCATAGTAGACTGAGTGTATTATGCCCACCATAATTGATCTATACGATTATATTTAGGGACCCAAGACTGCTCAGTGCTTCTGTTCATATATTTAGTGCTAGTTTAAAAGCACACAATCAACTAAAAATCCATTTTAAAAAATCCCAAAGTAGATCAGTAACTTGTCAATCAAATACTCAAACTATTCTTTAAACAAAAATCAGCAAACAATCAGTTCCTAGTGTGCTCTCCTGAATTCACTTCATTCCTATCAGGTCAGAGTCTTAGAAAAATAAAATCCTAAAACGACTAGCACTGAGTAAGTTCATAAGTCTGGTTTAAATTTCATGATAGCAAAATTATATTATCTAACCAGCAGGTATTTTCTTTACAGGAAATTCAGTATTTTAGTGGCTTAAGATACTGGAGTTTCATAAGACATCAGATAGGGAAAATCAAGTTAAATGAAGACAAAAAAGAAATAGATTGACTTATACTAACAAGTTGTGCCACATCTTATCTGTGCATTATCTTTTTTGTCTACCCTAAGGTAACACCTTCAAACTAAGTTCAACAAACACTCATTAAGTCATACTATATACTAGGCACTTTGAAAGATACAACGATGAAAAAAAAATTATGATCTGCCTTCAAATAATTTATAATTCAATGAGATAGATTAGACAGAGACATACAAATTCTCTGTATACAATGTTTTTCTTCATCTAACATGACCAAACAGGTGTTGAAAAACTTAGAGGAAAAATTTTCAAGACCCCAAAGTGTAGCAAATAGCGTTTGCTTATTGTGCCAAGTAATATAATAAAAGAGCATTATTTGCTTTTACCTCTCTGTTAAGGCCCTGACAATCACCACTACTTGGGCTTTCTTAGTTTCCTACTTTCGTTTATTTTCTGTTCTCTTCTCATGTAATAAGATATATCTTTTTGGGCTTGCCAGTTCTGCTTTCATTTTTTTCTGCTGTTATTGCTGGGGGCCCATGTCCTACCCTCCCCATCACAATACACTGTGTTTGCCAGAGAGACCCTCCACAGTTTCTTCTTTGTATTTTCTTACTGGAGATCTGGAAACAATCACTGAGCAGATCTGTGAGTACTGTGTAGCTCTGAAACCTTCAAATCTAACCATTCAAAAACAATTACCTTCAAGAATTCTAATCAGGAAGGTAAAAGACAACAGCCATTACAATCACCCTCTGTGATTCTAACTCCTTGCATCTCACTGCTATCAGCTTTGGCTGTAGATAACAGCAGTGAGATGACATTTGGGCTTGAAAGCAAAAGAAACAATGCTGAAAATATGGCAAATTTTAATATTTAGTAGTACTAGCCAGGCCGGGCGCGGTGGCTCATGCCTGTAATCCTAGCACTCTGGGAGGCCGAGGCAGGCGGATTGTTTGAGCTCAGGAGTTCGAGACCAGCTTGAGCAAGAGCGAGACCCCGTCTCTACTAAAAATAGAAAGAAATTAATTGGACAGCTAAAAAATATATAGAAAAAATTAGCCGGGCATGGTGGCGCATGCCTGTAGTCCCAGCTACTCGGGAGGCTGAGGCAGTAGGATTGCTTGAGCCCAGGAGTCTGAGGTTGCTGTGAGCTAGGCTGACGCCATGGCACTCACTCTAGCCAGGGCAACAAAGTGAGACTCTGTCTCAAAAAAATAAACAAACAAACAAACAAACAAAAAAAACAAAAAAACAAAAAAACAAAAAACAAAACATTAGAAGTACTAGCCAGAGATGATTACTGGAGATTCCATGATATTAACATTAAGCCAAAATCATCGATACTTTTTGCACCTGCTGAAACGAAGACCAACTTGACAAAACCTTTATGAGCACACTACAGAGACTTTTAGGTAGTTACATATGTGAATAGCTAGAGTTTACCTGTCCTTTATCTACTCTTAACTCTGAGATTTAAAACTTGCTCTTACTTTTCGTCCTCTAAATTTTGGTAGATGACACTGGTATTGCAAAACCAATCAACAATTATCATATATATATGTTTCCCCTGGGAGGGGGACCCACTATAAAGAGAGGTTAGAGAGTAATAAAAGGTCACGGGACTAGATTAATCATAAACCTAGATGGCTGAACCTGAATTTTCTCAAACACTTCCTGCCTTTTGTTTCAACTTGCAGTATACCTTCAAGGTTAACTACAGTCTCCCTGAGCAACAGACCAGCCCACCCTAGACTGGGATATGCTCATTCCTAACCGAAATCTATTCGTTTACTTATTTATACTGTTTCATTTGAAAACATGCTGTTATTCCTTGACCGTCAAACAATATACACTGCATTCCTGCCCACACAATGCCAATTCTGCAGATATCCAACACGCCCACCTCACTGTGAAACATAAGGGGATGGTTTTTCATCAAGTTCTCGGGGGAAGGGATAGGGTGAAAAGGAAAAATGAAACACAACACAAACCTAAAAAACCCTTAGAAGCTGGGTTTTCCCACAAGGAATAGAGAGCAGACGTACGGTACGAAGGGTGAAGGAGGGAGGGGAGTTTACTATTTCTCCTTTTTCCAGAGTCTAAAAAAGTCCCGGAGCAGGGGAGCTCTGGACGCCCCACGGCAGAACAGAGGCTCCAACGGGCTGCGGGAGGAAGACTGAGCATTCAGAGCAGGGGGGATGAGAAGAACTCAAGTGGGGTAAGGCCGCTTCGTCGGTGGATCTGGCTGTCTTAGGTTGAGTCTTTGATTTTTGCTTCGACCCATCCCTCTTTTTTTGGGAAACACTGATTTTATCTTACGGAGGAAACAAGCCCCGGTCCCACACCAGCGAGCAGGGACAGGTGTAGGGAGTGATGTCTGGCCTCCCGGGGGTATAAAATGGGGGTGGGGGCGGCATCCTAGAGAATCGGGACCTGTGAGTCCTCCGCCAAGGCTGAGGCGCTGGGCAGGCGGAGGCTTTAAATGAGAGGGGTCAGGAGGACACCCCTCTTCTGAGGGGTTGGGAATGGACGAGGGACAAAAAGTAGCTGCGAGGACCCTCGAAGGATGAGGAGCCGCCTCCTGAGGCAATACCGGGAGGTGGAGGAGACGGCCCCGCCCCCTCAGGGGATGGGCCCAGTGGCAGTTGGGACGGCGGCGGGAGGCTACCGGTGCTCCTACCCTTGCTTTGCCCTCGAGAACCCGGCCTCCCGGCCACCGCCAAGGCCCAGCGCGAGCGGCTCCTACCTTTCCGCGGCGCTCCGGGCTCCGCTCCCCGCCGCCTCCGCCACCCGCTCCGCATCCACAGCGCCGAGGCCCCGCCCCCTCAACCGCCCGGCGGGGCCATTGGCATTCACCAGGGCCAATCGCCGCCTCGCCTCTCCTGCCCCGGGCCCAATCCGTGCCGGCTGGAGGAGGGGCTTCTCCAATGTCATTCAGGCTCCTCCTGGGGCCCCAAGATCCCTTTTGTTTGGGGAGAGCCAGGCTGGGATTGAGCTCGCGTCACTTCCGGGAGGAAGCGCCCACCTCCGTCCCGAGCTTGAGGGTGGGCTCGGGTCCTCCCGCTCCGGTTCTGCAAGTTTCCACCTTCTCTCCGGGGGCATGAATATGACTAGTGCTTCGTGCTTTACCCTGACTTTATGGGGAGCTCAGGAATGGCGGGCTCTGGTGGCCTGATTAGTTAGATTTTATCCAGAATGTTAATAAATGAAGTGAGCTTTGGCGTTTGCTTTAGAATTAGTTGTTGAAAACCTGGTAACGTGGCTTCCTTGCTTACTCTGTTTTTTCCTGGACGTGCCTGGGAGTGTGGTGCTGGAAGCAAGGGCGCAAAGATGAAACACCCGAAGACCACCCTTCTCTTTTCATGTAATGTGCGGAAGTGGATACTAGCTCTGGAGCCCCGGGGTGGAGACACAGGATAGCACCCGGGAGAGCATAAACCTAGCTGACCTGTCTTCCAGGCAGAAGTCGAATAATTGCAAATTTGTGTGTCGAAGTTTTTCCACAGTATGCCTGCCACACAAGGGGACTTTTCTGTGTCCTTGGCTTCATTATACTGTTGGGAGTATGCCGTTTGCAGTGAAGCTGAAACAAAGGACAGTGTAGAGGATGCAAGGAATGTCTGTCCTCCTGTGAACACAGGAATGTAGATCTTACAAACCCTAGGCAGCAAACCCTAGGCAGGACCAAATAACCCAGAGAGGAAAGATGATACATACCTAGTTGCATCCCTACCCGAGGTCAAAGTTTCTGAATTCCTTTTCCATAGATTGCCCCTCTGCTCACAGATTGCTTCAGCTGGTTACATTAATAATAACCGTATTATTTAAAATACAATATAATAAATACAAGACAAATATTTATAATACATAATGTATTACTTTTAAATATATTATTCCTAATCTTAGCATTTATTATTAGTAAGACAGTATTAGGGAGCTATTACTCACCAAGGAAGACACAGTTCTCAAGGCAGATGCAGCCTGCCTCATGAAGTTTACAGTCTAATGGAGGGATGTGGTTGATCTGTACAATCATAGCTTGAAACCAGAATTTATCATGTTATCACTGTGCCATGTATTTTCATATAGTGATATTTTATTAGTCTTCAGTACCGTATGATAGAGATATCATTGTGTCCAATTTACAGATGAGAAGAGACTCAGAGAAGTCAAATAAGGTCACCGAACTAGTAATAGTAAAGAAAGAATTTCCAGTAAGGACGTGTGACTCCAAACCTGTGTCATAGTCTGCTCACCGAACAGTGGCTCTCCACAAGGAGGACCGGCCCAGAGAATGGACATGGATAATTGTAAAGCCAGCGTTAAGGCCAGAAAAATAACCACATGCCTCCCCTGTTGATTGTGGACTTGGAGTATCATCTCTGTACATGAAGGACAGCAAGACTGTGGGCTGAGGTGCTCAGCAGCAGCCCAAGTGCTTTTGGAATAATGACACAGAAAATACTGAACTTCAGGAAGACACCATACCCTGTGTTCAGAAGACTGGCAATCTGAAAGAAAGGTAAGACGAAGGGCCAGACACATAGTAGGTGCTCAGTAAATACTGACTTGAAACAAAATGTTCGAAATGCTTAAAAACACGTAGTGTTAGATGCTGGAATAGGCACAAGAACTTGAAAAATCCCATTTCCTCCTCCTCCCTTTTGCTCTGCCTATGGGTGTGCAATGAGGAAGTGCCTCATCGCCTGCCAATGAGGCAGATGTGGGAGAACAGGCTATTTTCTGCTGGCTTCTGAGTCACTCTAAGAGTTGTCCCAGTGAATCAACTCCTCCCTTCGTCCCCTCCTTCCCTTTGTAGCTGTTAACCCACCACCACCCATTCTATTCCCAGGCTTACTGGGTGGAAGTGCCCTGTGATCTACTTCCTTTATAGCTATGGGCAGCTCCCCTGACTCCCTGGGTTCCCTTCTGCCCATTCCTGAATGAGTGTGGAAGGACTCAGCAAGAATGACATCATCCCTGCCTAGGAGGATTCAGAGTCCTGAGAGTGTTCAGATTGCTTTCCTTTTAACATTTCTTCCCTGGAGGTAGTCAACAGTCAGGGTTTGTGAACCTCATGTTATCGTTCAGGCTGCACAGTGAGAGAGTTCTGGAGTTTTGTGATTCTTCAATGTATTAATATAAAACTTGTAAATAAATTTAGAGTCTAGTGCACAGGTATACACAAAAGTAGAAAATAGGTTTATGACAATATCTTAAATTTGTATAACACAAGACATTTTTATGTCTATCATCTTATCAACTTTCCAGTATAATATTTATTAAATGCCAACTGTGTGTCAGGCAAAAACTTAAAGAAGTACTAAAAAATTATAAATTATGTCAATTTTTTGCAAATAAAAAACTTTCTAGGTAGGTGTTCCGTAAATGTTTTTTGCTGGTTTAGGGAGGCAATGGTGGAGTAAAAGAGGGTTAGACTAGAGGTAAAAAAATCTGGAGTCTGGTTCTCACTCTGTCGTAAACTATACTAGTTTCCCAGGGCTGATGTAACAACTTATCACAAACTGCATGGCTTAAAATAACAGAAATTTATTATCTCTCAGTCTTAAGGCTGGAAGTATAAAATCAGGGAGTTGACAAAGTTAGTTCTTTTTGGGGGCTCTGAGAGATGATCCATCTCATGCCTCTCTCCTAGCTTCTGGTGGTTCCCAGCACCATCCCAATCTCTGCCTCCTTCTTCGTATGGCCTTCTTCCCTGTGTCTCAGTGTTTCTATATGTCCTTGCCTTTTCATCAATATGACCCCAGTCATATTGGATTTAGAGCCCACCCTAACCCACTATGATCTCATCTTTACTCATTACATCTGCAAAGACCCTATTTCCAAGTCAGTTACCATTCTAAGGTTCTAGGTGGACATGAATTTTGGCAGGGGGTGGGGTGGGGAAACACCATTCAATACAGTACACAAACATACTTGGCAAAGTAATCTCACTAAACTCCATGTAACTTCATTGGTAAATGGCATGAAAGTAATTGACTAATTCCTAAAAATCATTTCAGTCTATGATTTAATATAATTATATATGCTACATGCATTTATCAAACTATTGATCTATGTGCTAGGCACTATGTAATTGCCTTACATGGTCCATCTCATTTAACCCTTAGAAGAATCCCATGAGATAGATGTTAATATTCCCGTTTCACATATGAGGAAATTGAAGCACAAAGAGGTCCATGATCATGGAATTCATAAATGATGAACATAGAATATTTACTTAGATCTAATTCCAAAATGTCCCCTCAAAATTACGGTGCTCTATCATCTCTCCGTTATGCTAGGTGGGTTAGAAAGATGGGGAATGCAACAAATATTTTAAAATTTGATTTATGGAATACTTGGAGCTGAGTAGGCATCTTCCTGGAGTTATATGTATAGTTCAGAGTGATTTTAAAACAAGGGAAAGCAAGAGGGGAGGGAGTAGTGGGTGGCAATGAAGGCTTAGTAGGGAAGAGGAGAACTTCAGTTTCCTCATTTGTAAAATGAGATAATAGGCTCTGTCTATACCACCAGGTGGTTGTGAATATCCAAACGAGATGAAGTACATGAAAGTATCTGGTAAACTCTGTGAGGGATTATTATAAATTACCTGGGAGATCTTGCTAACGCTCTTTGTCCTCTCTGAGTCCCAGCCCTCTAACTAAACATCCGAGGCGCTATAAGCCTCCTTCTTATTACTAGCTGTGACCCACTGCGATTTACTAAGATGTTGGGTGAGCTACATGTAGAAATTGCAGTAAACGGGAAAAGTGCTCTGGCCTGTCTTCCCTACCTCCTTTTCCTCAAGCTTCCCTCCCCTCTCACCCGCCCCAGAGGATGGGGGGTCGCAGTCTGGAAGCCGGAGAGGGCTCTTTAGCCCGGAACCAGGCTGAAGCCGAAGGGAAGGTGTCCTCTCCACTGCTCCGTGCATTTTCTCCCATCCTTTGTTCCCACAAACGCCCTTCTGCGTAGTCCTTAATTGTTCTCTTGCTTCGATCTGCCCAATCTGGGCGACTAGGGCATCGGGAGAGTTCAGATTTCTGGGGGTGGTTTAACTGTGTTCCCGGGCTTATTGCTCCCCCTAGTGTTGAGCTGTGAATCCTGCAGCTGCCGGCTTCTCTCTGGGCCTTCTCTGAGGCCTCCCGCCTGACAGTTTTTCCTTTTATGGGTGTGGGCTGAGAGCATAGCAGACAGGGGACTCCGAGGACTGGCAGTTCAAAAAGCCACCTCAGGGGCATATTGTTTGGGTTTTTGGCTAAATGTAGGGTCCAGCTTGGCCATGATGGAGCTGTAAAACTCTTATCTTGGATCTCACTGTGGGGAGGTCTGGGAGGGAGACGGAAAGAAATCTAACATTGAGCACCTGCTAGTTATCAGGCATTGTGCTGGTGGCGCTATATATTTTACATACATAATCCTTGTGATCTTTACATATACAATCATTGTAGCCATCGTGAGAGGTAATTATTATTACTTCTAGTTTTGGGGGGAGGGAAAGCAAGTTTAGTGAGGTTACATGTCTTCCCCAAGGTCACATGGTAACAATAATGATAACAGCATTAGCCAATTATTTACTGCCAACTCCACACCAGGCACATTATTTCTTTTAATTCTCGCAGCAACACTTTAAAGTAGTTATATAATCTCACTTTACTGATGAGATAACAGATTTAGATAGTTTAAGAAAGGAATAACTGAGAAGTTTGCCTGAGGTCACAGAGCCAGGTCCTCCTGACTCCAGTCCCATGTGCTTTCCACTCC